CAGGACCATGTTAGGCAAATCTTCTACCTCTTAGCCATATCCCAAACACACTTGTGTTTGAATTATAGATCTCATCATTTTCAGTTAAGACTGTATCTAACTACAGCGTACATACACAGAGACTTTTTTACCCATCTGAGAGTTAAAACTTAAATTACCTTGAGTTTCTTGCCACTACAGTGGTGCTTTGGGAGGGTCATGTACATGTACAGTCTTCTCTCAGTTCATTCCTTGACCAAAAAAAAAACAAAGAAAAGTACAGTGTATGTTAGTAAGAAGATTCTGTGTCATTGAAGTATTTCAACAGGAAAGCAAAGCTGCTTTAAAAAGATGTCCACTAACTTGTTCCTTTGCCGAGTAAAAACACCAGTTAGCTGCCTACCAGAAAACTCCATGTAGCAAATCACTATCTTAGGCAATTCTTGCCAGAGAGCATTCTCCCAGTTTGAGATGTTGGAGTGGAGGTAAGGCCGTTTGTTGTTTAAGACTCACCTTTCAGGTGAGCTGGGGTACATGTCGAGTGGGATTTTAACCACCTAATATCTCATGTTGTGTAGTATAATGATTGATTAAATAAAACAGAATGAGCTAATAGAGAGATGAAGCTGTATTATATAAATTCCGATTTATTGGGAGCATCGAGGGAGTGGGGAGGAAAAGGTTAGCGCCGACTGTGGGGAGGGGAGGTCAGGAAAGGGTAAAGGAGGAGAAAGGACAGAAGGGGGCAGTAAACCAAGGATGTCTGTGTATGCATGTTTGTTTGTTTGGGTTAGGGCGCGTGCGTGTGTGTCTGTAGATGTAGATGTGAGTGTTCCTGTAGAGGCCAGAGGAAGGCTGTCAGGAATCATCTTGGTTACCTTTTCTATCCTTCTGGGGGCCCCTGCTTCTGCCTCTGAGGCTGGGATTCTGTGTGGGCCACCACACCCGCCAAGCATGCATTTGGGTTCTGAGCTCCAGCTCCAGCATGGACATGTCAATCACTGAGTCATTGCACTGACCTGTTTTTGTTTGTTTGTTTGTTGTTAATGTACCAGACTATGCTTGGCATGGTAGATAGTACATGCTTGAAATTTCAGCCCTTAGGAGATTGAGGCATAAATAATGGAATAATACGAATTTGAGGCCAGTTAGGGCTCCACAGTGAGGATCTACTCAAAAAGTAAAATAAAAAAGGTGGGGTAAAGAATTAAGGTAGATTTTTAAAAATTACATGATGACTTGTAAAATAAGGTGAATTGTAATTACCACAATTCAGGTGAAGGAGGGGGTTTGAACCAGTGATTTAAAAAAAAAACAACAAAAACTTGGTTGCCTCAATTCTTTGGAAGAAAAAAATTGAAGACATAATTCAGAAACAGCCAGAACAAGACCATTTAAAGTCAAATTGATAGGTGCAAAATCAAAAGTGTAATCTACAAGCAAAGGCAAATTACAGTACAGAAGACAGCAGAAGAGCAGATCTGGATAAACATTGTAAGTTAAATTATGTCTACCATGAAGACCTACTGTAGTATAAAACTGATTTTAGCAACATAAAACAGGTAACGAAAAATAGGTGAATCCAGAGTTTGTAGCCAGAAATAGGTCAAAGTCAAGCATATACACTACAGAGTGAACAAAAGAAGCAGAGCTGTGCACAAATAGGAGCTCAGACAAAATGCCTCTCAGAGAAAGCTAGGTGACCAGTTATCTATTCTTGGTTGCTCAGGGAGAAGTGGCCCTAGTCCTATCAAAGCACTCCTAATATATTCTGGAAGCCCCCCCCCCTTTTTTTTTTTTTTGAGATGAGGTTTCTTTCCCCTATGTAGTTTTGTCTGGCCTGGGACTCTCCATGTAGACCAAGCTGGCCTTGAACAATCAGATCTGCCTGCCTATTCCTTTCCAGGTCTGGGGATAGGATTAAAAAGGTGCACCACCACACCCAGATGGTTTCTGAAATTTTGGCTTCTTAGGAGTGACTTCCATTATATCTACACCTTCATTTTCATGATGTAAACTTCTACCTGAGCAGAAATGTTTTGGTGGGCTTTTATCTCTGGCAGTAGTGCCCAGTATGGTGTCTTTTACACAGCAAGATCCTCAATTGATGGCTTAAAGTGTTAAAACAATAAAGCCATTTGAAAATGAAGTTGAAAACTTAATTCTTCACTTCTGAAATATCACAGTGTGTAGTAAGAGTAAGGCTGTGTGCTTGACTTCCTCCTGCACCCAGAAACCCACTTTCTTCTCTGTGGAGGGTTCATGGATAAGGATGATTGGCCTTGTCTTCAGTCTTGAATTTATAGAAAGCTCACTCACTCTTCACAACTGTTAAGCAGGTTTTGCATTTATAGTGAGTATAAATATGAGTAAATTAAGCCCATAACAAGGAGTGCTGAGTTGCAGAACCACTAGCAAATGGTCTGCTGCTAAATTTAAAAAAAGAACAGGGCGTTTTCATCTCTAGAGTTCCCAACAACATATCATAGCTATGCGCCGTTTGAAAAGAAGCATGATTCTTGAACTGTTTTTCTTTAGCTAAGAATAGGACAGGAGTAGGTAAACTCTCATTACAGAAAAAATAGGCAATAAATGCTGCCCTCCCTCCCCCCCTTTATTAACTACAGAGTGACAGGTTAATTTCTATAAAAATGTAAAACTTTGGTTCAGTTAAAGAATATGACTGGAAAATTGATATAAATAGTGGTCTAATATCTGTAAGATTTTCAGTTTGTTATACAGCCTCTTGGTGAAAGCATGCCAACAGTATTTGCAGAGATGCTTCTCATCAATCATCATGGCCCAGGAGGCACTTCAGCTAAACAGTGGCCAAAAAGTCTCCCCTTTAGGCCAGATCTCACTGTAATTCCGTGTAGCAAACATTGGGTTGGTTGAGTCATTTTTATTCTTGTAGAATAAATGAGTGCAAAGACTAAGAAAGCAAATGGCAGTTTCTTCTGAATTATTCAATTTACAGTGCCCATACTTGACAGCATCTTTCATCTTTAACCTTTAAGAGTTACATGATGAGTACCTGTAGAATACATGTTAATTTTTCTTACTTGGAACTAAAACAGATAGAAACTTACTTGCTTAGATGCTACCTAAGTGTTAGTGAGTTAAACATTTGAAAGAGGGGCTGGAGAGATGGCTCAGTGGTTAAGAGCACTGTCGGTTCTTCCCAAGGACCCAGGTTCAATTCTCAGCACCCACATGGCAGCTCACAACTGTCTGTACCTCCAGTTCCAGGTGATCTGACACTCTCATACCAATTCATATAAAATAAAGTTAAATAAATTATATATTTAAAAAAAAACATTTGAAAGACTTTGTAGACTTCTTTTCTTGAACTTTGAAGCAGAAAAAAATGTTTTTTAAGCATCTGTATGGGTTTTGGTTTGTTTTTCTATTTTTATGATAGTTTAAATGTTTATATTTGATCTTGCTTATAAAATACCTTTAAAAGCTCTTTTTTTTTTTAAAGATTTATTTATTTTATTTATATGAGTGTTCTATCTGCATTTACGTCTGCCAGAAGAGGGAATCAGTTCACATTATAGATGATAGTGAGCCACCATGTGGTCACCGGGAATTGAACTCATGACTTTTGGAAGAGCAGACAGTGCTCTTAACCACTGAGCCATCTCTCTAGCCCCTTTAAAAGCTCTTAGAGAAAATAATTTTTGCCCTCTTAAGCAATGGAAATCCTAGGGGCTGGAGAGGTGGCTCAGTGGTTGACAGCACTGCTGCTCTTGAGAGGTCCTGAGTTCAATTCCCAGCACCCACATTGTTTACAACTATCTATAATGGGATCTGATAGTCTGTTCTGTCATGCAAATAAAGCTCTCATATACATAAATAAATACATTTTTTAAAAAAGCAATGGAAATCCTCTTAATGGTAGTCTGTGATTCAACAAAAAGGTAACGTTAATGAATATTCTCTTTACATTTACTGTGGACTGGTTTTAGAACGGTTTTATTAGAATTATTTATGTACTCATGTTTGAATTAATCAACTAATAAGTGTACTTTGTAGTTAGAGCATATTTGATTTTGGTCATTACCCTCCCCCCTCCCCAGTTTTGAGCCAGTCGTTATGTATATTTGAAGTAGGAACTATTAGATGTAGGGATATTACAACAGGGAAACTTGGTAAAACTGGAACTGAGATCACTGAGCTGCTTTGTGAATATTATTTTGACCTCTTCCTTATGTAGTCTAGAAACTAAGATTAATGAGTCAGTGTTGATGGTAGTTATGTAACAGTTTTATACAGTATGAAATCCATTTCTTTCCTTACTGAGTTCATTGTTGCTTTTCTGATTTGTGGAAGGAAGATAAAAAGCTTTCATTTGCGCTGATTAGAAGTAGACATAAAATACATCTGAAGTATATATTACTTCTAAAAATGTTTAAAATTGTTATCTGACTGGATATAGTGACGCATGCCTTTAAGTCGGCACTGAGGAGGCAGAGGCAGGCAGATCCCCTGTGGGTTCAAGGCCAGCCTGGTCCACATGCATAACTAGGGCTGCAGTAGTGAGACTATCGCAAAAGACAAAAGAAAAGAAAAGAAAAACGAAAAAAATTGAAAGTGCCACATAGCAGGGAAATTCGGATTGGTTGATAATACATTTTGACAACACGTTGGTAGTGTTTTAACACGCTGCCTCCATGCTCTTTGGCTGAACATTTTTCATATGCCTGTTTACCATATATTTGCTTTTCTTCTTTTTAAAAATGTCTGTTTATGTCTATAGCTCATTATTCTGTACTACCCATTTCAGGTGTATATTATACAAATATCACAACCAGCTTTTTAAAAAAATACTTAGAATCTATTCTGATGCATTAAAATGGAAATTAATTTGTCTCCTAACATTTAGGTGAAAACCCCTGATACTAATTGAATTAGCCTTACCTTTGTATCTTTAACTCTTAAGTAAGGAACCATTTGCAACCAGAATACTGGAAGAGGAATTTAAGTTAGATGAACAGTGACATTTTTCTGTCTTACAGACCTCCGTGAGTGAAAGCCTTCAGAGGGAAGCTGCTAAGAAGCAGGCCATGAAACAGGTAGGGGAGGAATGAAGGAACTGTGTAAACCAGTGTTTCGGGAACTTAGTACTGAGAGTGAAACAGAATAAATGAGTATGATGAAATCATTTTATTTCTTAAAATGTGTAAAATGTTTCTCAGCTCATGTAGATTGCAGACTTGCTTTGTGAATATTAAAGGAAAATACAATTAGCTCCTTATTATGGGCTGTAGCTGTGCTTTCACCTGACTCAGTAGTCTGATAACGGTTGTTTGCATTGTTGGGATTTGTTTCTTTAGTACATTTTGCTTGGCGCTCCCTTGTCAGAAGAAAAAGGTCTAGACACAGCACCGTGATTTCACAGCTACTTAGAATCATCGGCCAACAAGGCGGGGAGCGGCGGGCCATTTTCAGCAGTGGCTCTGTTAGCGCCCAGTGGCTTTAAGCACTTCTTCCCATACCCTGTTTGCTTGTAAAATTCTGAAAACTCACTCCTGCTCTGACTAAGAAAGTATCAATTGCCCCTTTTTGTACTGATTATTGCTTTTACAATCCTGCGTCTCAGATTTCACGGGTGCAAAGTAGAAAGAATGAACAGAGTTGAGAGTGCGCCCGAGTGCACCCCTCTCACCTGCCACCGCTTCCTGGCTACAGCGCCTCTGCCTCCCACCTGGACCTCCTCTGCGCTAATTCCAGACTCACTTATCATGAACTTTGATTGCATTTACCAGATTGTAAACAAGTATGACTGGGAAATGGATGATACTTTAATAGTCTTCTTTTTTCCTTTTTCTTATTTGGATCTGAATAACAGAACTGATGGTGACATTTTGTCTTTTACCTATTTCCCTGGAAAAATACTAGTGTAATTATCTAGATTGGAAAAGGTCTAATAATGCCAAGATTGTTAGCACTTCTAAAATGAGCTAGTACTCTATACACTTTGTAAGTTTATTTCTACTTTAAAGACTGTGTGTGTGTGTGTGTGTGTGTGTGTGTGTGTGTGTGTGTGTGTGT